CTAATTAAATTTTCTTGTATTTTAAATATAGAAATTATACTCTTTTAAATATTAAAGTTTACTTAAAATAAATTAATATAGGTATTCATTTAAAAAAACAAGTTTGCAACAAAACATAATAGATTTAATTTAAATAAAAAAGTAAACATATATTTGATTTGAATTAAGAGTACCTACCTATAATATTTTTGTGTATAACCATAAAAATGTTGGTTATTTAATGTAAATAATTATTTTTTTGTGTATGCTCTTAAAATAGTAATTTATTTAAAACAAACATACAACATTGGATTAATTTATAAGCGCAATAGAATAATTTATATTGCGCTATAAATAATAAGATTAACCAGTCTTTTTGGCTAATGTCAAAGGGCCATTTGAAGCATGAAAAAGGGGCAAATCATAAAACTGTTTTTATAAAAAATATTGTAGGTAATATAGTATTTTGGCAAACAATTGTTAAATATATTCTTCTTTTATTAGGCCGTACAATAAATAAAAGAAACCCAAGCAATACTTCTACAAAAGTAGAGATAATTTTAATAATTGATAGTCGTTAAATCAAGCGATATCAATGGAAAAGCAATAGATAATTTATATGAAACTGTCTTGTATTACTGCGGTTATACATTAATTTGCCATTGCAGTCGGCCTCCTGACGTCACGCCTCCCACTACCACACTCTCGCCTGGGATAGAGAACGCCGTGTTCTTCCCCAATTCCACGGCAGAAAGTTTACGTTTCTTGCATTGGTCAAGCTATACGCGCACACTCTATAATAGCGGGAGTAAAAAGCTAATTAATTAATTAATTAAGTGCAAGTTTATTTGGGAGGTTTACCATTTTGAATCATTGGTTGAAAATTTATTATTTGATTTATTTTTTAAGTCTTTTCTACTTTTTACCATATTGAATCAGCATGTATAAAATAAAATATCAAAATGCTTTAAACTCGGCTTTAAAGTTTCAATTTGTTAACCTTATTTAAGGTTTACCATTGTGAATCAGCGTTTTAGAATATTTTTACATTTTTAATGCCAATTTGACGTCATTATTGATTGATTTTTTTTCAATAAATAGTGTTTTTAAAAGTGCTAGTTTGTTAATGTTTCCATTCCATAGTAGCATTTAGTAATAAACTAATAGTAAAGAAGCATTTTAATGCTAAAACTCGTCTTTCTAATTGGCATGTTTGACTTGGTGAATCAGCATTTATAGTGATAATTTACGCCATTGTTGATAGATATTAAAGGATATTTTCTAATAAGTGGTGCAAGTGTTAGTTTATTTGAGTGTTACCATTGTAAATCAGCATTATTAAATGCTTTAAAATGGCATTGTATTTTTTAATTGCGCGTCATTTTAAAATGTCTTTATTTATTAGGATGTCTACAATGCGACATTTATGTGTAAATTGGGGAGTTGACCATTTAACAAAAGGGTTTTTAAATGCTTTTGCATTTTACAGCTCTTTTATGCAATTGCGAAGTTAGCACCAAAGGGTGTAAAAATCACATGTCTAAAATTTTTATACTTAATTTTACACTAACTATGTTTATTAGCCAAAAAGTTATAAATTTAAACTAATAATATAGTTTATTAATATTTTATTTACAAATGTATGTAGATTTGGTTAAAAAAAAAATAAAAACAAATTTTGTTACAGTAATTGGAAATGCAGATATAGTTACTGCCTTTTTACCGGACCAAAATACAAAGTAACCAAGCATATGATTAAAGACCATGGGCATACATCAGTGATCAAAGATGATGAAGTAAAACTAACTAAAGGAGATAAAAAATTTTCTTGTATGTACTGTGACTATAGAACAATTTACAAGCAATCGTTGCAAAAGCACATTGGACGCAAGCACAAAGAACAATATGAGTTGGACAAAAAAGTAGCACTAAACATAAAAACTTACTCCTGTGTGTACTGTGACTTTACAACAGGGGACACCCAATGGCTTCAAAAACACATTTTCGTCAAACATAAAGAACAAAATAACTTGGAAAATAAAGTAGCACTAAACATAAAAACGTACGCCTGTGTATACTGTGACTTTACAGCAGTAATAAGCCAAAGGCTTCAAAACCATATTTACATCAAACATAAAGAAAAAATTCAAGTGGCAATAAAAACGTACTCTTGTGTGTACTGTGATTACTCCACAACTATAAACCAATCATTACAAAGGCACGTATATAACAAACATAAGGAGCAAAATGAATTGGAAAATAAAATAGAAATAAACATAAAAACTTACTCTTGTGTTTTCTGCGACTTTGAAACAGTGGCCAATCAAAGGCTGCAAAAGCACATCTACAGCAAACATAAGGAACAACATTAGTTAAAAATAAAGTAGCGATAAATTTAAAACTTACCTTTGTGTGTACTGCTATACGGTATCTAATAATCATTGGAAAACGTAAAAAACAAAATGACTTGAAAAAGAAAGTACCTTGGTACAAATTTATTCTTGTAAAAAACTCTGCATGTACTATAGAAAACTGTATAGACCAAAATTTCGCTATTGATTGAAAATCTTGTGCTGTGTGGCTCTTTTTATTTTTATTTTGGCATAAAAATTAAATCTAATTTTAAAATATCTGCTATAATATTATTAATATGCAGAAAAAAAAATCTTATGTGATATTTTTTATCTAATTGAAAATATCACTCTAGGGTTAACACATCAAAATATTTCTTGAATACAATAAAAAACACATTTAGAAAAATGTAAATAAATAAATAATAATTATTAACATTATATGCTGTAGTAGTGTAGTAGTTTTTGAGTAAGGCATAATTTAAAAAAACTAAGCAACACGCAAAATGAAATATTTTTATTTTTTTGGTGTGACGTACGATCCACAGTAGGGTGATTCATTTCCGCAAAAAACTTTTTTTTTCTAGGCGCTCAAGCAAAATATTAATCTACCTATAGAAAAAAATTTCACCAAGGTAGAGCTCTTAATATCAATTTTAAGTACTTGCAGTTTAAATTTAAAGTTTAATTTAAATAGCATAATTGGTTAATATTTATCAATTACTTACGTTTTAAGATATAAAAATGGCCGTAAATTCATCAAATATTTGTTAAAAGACTATTTTTACGATTCAGCACTTTTTTTTCACTATTTTTTGCGAATTATTAAAAAAAATTGCAAAAAAAAATGTTCATTCAAAAAATTGAACTTTGATGACTCCTACTGGCGAACCACTACGAGTTACACAAAAAAACAAAAAGACAATTTTGAAGAGCGTGAAATTCCCTATAAGGTCCATAAAACCGATTCACAATATTGTAAAAAGCGGGCGAGCATTAGAAATTTGAAAAAAAAACCATTTTTTTACATGCATTTTAAATGGGAAAACTTTAAATTTAAACTGCAAGTACTTAAAATTGATATTAAGAGCTCTACCTTGGTGAAATTTTTTTTTTATAGGTAGATTAATATTTTGCTTGAGCACCGAAAAAAACAAAAACTTTGCGGAAATGAATCTCCCTAATCCACAGCCCCCTCTCCCCATGTGACTACCCCTTATAGTATTTAAAGTTTAAGTTTAATTATTTATACTTGCCAAATTTTGTTATTACCTACATTAAAAGTTTATTAGGGTACTGTATGTTAAGGATTTAAAAAAAATAAAATTATGAAATAAATATTTTGTTTGTTTTATTTCCACGACCCTAAGTTAACATTCTGATAGAAGACTAAATAAAGAAGGAGTAACTCTCGAACATAAGGCGTGCTATTTTACGGCAAATAGCGTACGCAAGGATACTACAGATGCGCAAAGTGTCCACGCGCATAGCTGTCATCCAATGCTGGCTGGGTAATTTACAATACAAACACAGTATGCGCATGAGCATTTTGCGCGTCACATATAGGTGTATGTCAACTAAAATAATGTCTAAAATTGGTTTAAGACACAAAATTTGTTAGTGAGATATATCACTTAATAAATTTAAAGGTAAACCGAATAATAATTTAATTAATAGGAAATTTAATGCTCTACAAAAAGGGTTTCTTATGTTTATTTTACAAACCTACTCTCTAAAAATTAATTTAGTCAAAAATGACTAATTTAATAGTTATTAGTGGCTGCTTTTTCACTTTTATCGTGGTTAACCATGGAATACCATTGTATACCAAAATCTAACAGCCAATTCTTATGTAAAATTGTACCCTGAATCGGAAAATACCGTCAAAAGTTAAAAAGTAGTTTTTGAGATATAGTCAATTTTCCATTTAATATGGAATTGACTATATCTAAAAAACTACTCCACTTTCATAATAATTGGCTGTTAAATTTTGGGATACCATGGTATTTCATGGTTAACCATGGTACAAGTGAAAAAGCAGCCACTAATAACTATTAAATTAGTCATTTTTGACTAATTCATTTTTAGAGAGTAGCCATTCACAAGATATATCTTGGTTCAAAATTTAAAAATGTGGAAAAATATATATTTTTTAAACATTTTATAACTCGCAGAATAGTTAGGTTTTTAAAATTGGTAGTTCGTAGTTTTGATAAATGTTTTAAATATATGTGAAACTGAAGTTTAACTAAATTTGTGTTCTTATTAATTAAAATAAACTTTTAACTATTTTCAATTTTTTTTAAATTATATGTATTGAGCTTTACTTTATATTTATTTATTAGTGAGATACAAAATGTTTTTCATCGGACTAAAGTGAAAATAGAACACCTTACTTTTAATAGTAGAAAGGCTTCTTTTGAGGTGCCCAGCAACCAATATTTTGATATCAGAAGTTAAGAAAAAGAATAGAAGATTATTTGGATCACCCTAATATATATCAATGTTTGTATAAGGTATAGGAAAATCATTTTATTTTAATTTTATTGTAAAACTAACCTATACCTAAACCTATATTAGCCAAAAAAATAATCTACACAAATAAAGTTTTATCTTGTATAGTTTAGTATTATTTTTATTAAAAAATGTAGATAGTTTATTAGGTTTATATTTTCATGCAAAAAAATAAAAAAAACAAATTTGTTACAGTAAATGGAAATGCAAATACAGCGACTGCTTTTTTACCGGACCAGAAAACGAAGTAACCCAGCATATGATCAAAGAACATAGGCATACATCAGTAAAAAACAAAGTTATCAAAGGTAAAGAACAAAAACCAACCAAAAAAGATAAAACAAAAATAAAAAGATTTTCTTGCATGTACTGTGACTACAGGGCAACTTATAAACAAGCATTGCAAAAGCATATTTGTCGCAAGCACAAAGAACAATATGTAGCACTAAACATAAAAACATACTCATGTGTGTACTGTGACTTTACAACAGTGGAAAACCAATGGCTTCAAAAGCACATTTACACCAAACATAAAGAACAAAATGACTTGGAAAATAAAGTGGAACTAAACATAAAAACTTACTCCTGTGCATACTGTGACTTTACAACAGTAGAAAACCAAAAGCTTCAAATACACGTCTTAAGGAATCATAAAAAACAAAATGAGTTGGAAAATAAAGTAACGCTAAAGGTAAAAACTTACTCCTGTGTATACTGTCACTTTACAACAGTGCAAAACCAAAAGCTTCAAATACACGTTATTAGAAAACATAAAGAACAAAACGAATTGGAAAATAAAGTGGAAATAAACATAAAAACTTACTATTGTGAGTTCTGTGACTTCTCAACAGTAGACAATGAAAATATGCAAAATCACTTATACAGAAAACATAGGGAACAAATTCGAGTAGCATTAAAAACATACTCTTGTGTATACTGTGGATACTCCACAACGTTAAACCAAACATTACAAAGGCACATCTATAGGAAACATAAAGAACAAAATGAATTAGAAAATAAAGTACAAATAAACATAAAAACTTACTCCTGTGTTTTCTGTGACTATGAAACAGTGGAAAGTCAAAGGCTGCAGAAACACATCTATAACAAACATAAAGAACAACATTAGTTAAAAGTAAATCGATAAATTTAACGGCATCTAATAGTCATTTAATACAGTCACATGATTGGAAAAAATAAGAAACAAAATGGCTTGGAAAAGAAGGTACCGATATCGGTAAAATTAACTGTGACAAGTGTGACTACCATAGTAGAAAAAAAAACAAAATTGGCACATGGCTTCTTTTATTTTTTTATTCAGAAATTCAGAATTTATTCATGATTCTACTCTCTTAAAATGAAAGAGTCAAAATTCTACTATTTGAATTAGTACCAGCATTTTTTACTAATAAAATAGTCGTTTTCACTTTTAACTACGTAAATACTTAAAGTTTGACTAATTTAAGATTAGTCACCTTGACTTTTGAGAATTAAAAGTAACTAATTTCTTGAATCGTTTTGCGGCCAACAACAAAGTATTATTTGAATTAAACGCATATAGGCTCCATGGTTAAATGGCCCATAAAAACAAACAAAGATGCAAAAAGTTTAGGCTCAAAACAGCAACACAAATAATATATTCAACTTTAAAATATTATGAACAATATTTATTGACAAATAAAATTGATTTTTAAAAGAGTGACATAGCCACTTTGGTTATGACACCAGCTTGACAAGAGACAGACCTGAGTTAAATCCCCGGCTGGGTCAAAACTTTTTTTAAATTTAAATCTACTAATTTGACTATTTTATTCAGTAGAATTTGACTAATTATTAGTGACTGCTTTTTCGCTATGACAATTAGTTAAATATGACTTAAGTCAAAAATAACTAATTATAATTATAATTAGTTATTTTTGACTAATTTATTTTAAGAGAGTACTTGAACCCTTTGATCTATATATCTATATCCAGTAAAAGTATGTGTTTTCATTGAACAAGACGTACTTATTCATAAAAAATACATAGGATATACATAAATTTATAAACTAGCATGTTTTATTAAATATTGTATTCTAGTAAATAAAATTACTGAACATTTACTTTTTGTAATTATTGTATTGTGAAAATATCTATAAATACCGTATTTTCATTTTTCCTGTAGACAGGCCGCTTAATAACGGTGGGTTAGTTAAACATGTAGGAAACGGAAATCTCGAGATACCTAACAATAAAAAGTAAGTATTCTTTTATTCAATGTACCTAAAAATAGCTGAGTATGCAAAACAAAAAACAACTATCAACAAAGTAATCAAATGGAAATTTTTAATGAATGTAAGTATTCTTTTATTCAAAGTACCTAAAAATAGCTGAGTATGCAAAACAAAAAACAACTATCAACAAAGTAATCAAATGGAAATTTTTAATGAATGTCATGGGTCAGGAACAACCAGTGGCGGCCCAAAAGTACCCATATAAGTATAACTTTCAAAGAGTGACATAACCAATTATTTGTTCACCTCTTGCAGTGATTTATGCTTAATAAAAGTATATTATGTATCAAGTTTGATAAACGCCATTTTATACACGAATTTAATTTAGGCACGAGCGAGCTTGCGAGGGAGTGCTTAAATTAATGCGTGTATAGAAAAGTTTATAAACGAGGTGCATGCTATACTTTTTCTACGACGAATACTTATTATCTTAAAATGATTTAAATCAAAAATTTGTATAGAGCGCCATCTATGAAACAATAGGGGAATCTGTGTGTCACCGTCAAATGTCACATTTTTTATTTTATAAACACAGATTATAAAGGTTTTAAATCGAAATGTATTTCTTGAAAATTGACAGTTTTTCACAGTGAAAGTAAAGAAAATGTTTTATGAGGACTTTACAGTGGAGTCCGTGCCCGAATTTAAGTTATAGTTTACTGCCGGCGAAATTAATAGGTCAGTACAATGTTCATATAAACTTTTCAAATATTGGCGTTGAGAAACTATTTAATACTTTTGTATTTTTGTATTGAGATAATAAAATTATTTTCACATTTAGTATTATTTTACAAAAAGGCACTTTATTTTAACGATTGTATGACATTTGACAACTGTCAACTAACTTAAAACTAACTTCAACCCGTGACTAAAGCGCCATAAAGCCACAACTTGTCAATGTGTATTTAAAAGGTCACTTAGTGTCATGGAAACATGTACGTTAAAGGGCGTTTTAAAGGTGGGAGTGGAAAAAATATATTTAAGTGATGATAAGTAGGTAATGGTTTGTAATTTTACCTTGGTTTATCTCACGACCCCACAGAAAGGAAAAAAAAAATCTTATGAAATAAAAAAGGGCTTAACGTATCTCCTGTTGCCATTGTAGGTATGTTTAAATAACGATGATGGTCTAATAATTCTTAGGTTATGTCCAAGGAAGAGTATGTTGCCTAAATTGAACCGTTAATAAACTAAGGTTCAATAAGGACAACTATCTTTTCGCGCTATAATGATTTATTTTAGTACAGAATTTATATTATGAAATCTAAATGGTTTTCGTACTACTATAGTTCACCCACAACATGCATGCTATTGGTCAATCTGTAATAAAAGGCGTGGCTTCTAAATACTGTCACGCGCTAAAATTTATTTATGAGTTGGTAAATTTAATATAGGTACCATAGAAGTGTATATTTATTTTATTAATTTTTTGTGTTTTAGGTTATTTGTAGATGGATAAAGTTTAGTTATGAGGCTAGTTTATTTAATTTTAATGTCATTATTCTATGTTTAATTTGTGCAACTTGTTTCCGAAATAAAACCGTATGCAATACTAATTTTTTTTTTTAATATCTTTTCTTTAGGACAAGTTTTTATTGGTGTTAGCTGTCTAGGTTTTAGGGTGCACATTCACTTATCACTTGCTTGCAAAAGCTGTTGAGGGTTCTATGAACATTTGATTAAACCAATTGAATCAGGGTAAATCAATTTTTAGTTTTGTTATTGACATTAAAATTAAAATGTAAAAAATAAATACATTTATTTTGTTTCAGTGAAAAAACGATGGTAGAAAAAATATCGAATGTTTTTTCTCCGGATCATAAAATAAAGTTCTATAGAAAATGGAACAAAATGATTTGAAAAAAAAGTAGCACTTTTAACATAAAATCAATAATAAAGTTTTTTCTATATACATATTTTAGTATTATTTTTTATCGACAAATGAAAAATGTAGTTTTAGTTAAGCGTATATTTTTATACAAAAAAAATTAAATGCAAAAAATCAAAGTTGTTTTTTGTTACAGTAAATGGAAATGCGAATACAGCGACTGTTTTTTTACCGGACCAGAATTCGAAGTATCCCAGCATTTAATCAAAGACCATGGGCATACATCAGTGAAGAATAAATTAATCAAAAATAAAAAACAAAAACCAAGAAAAGAAGATCACACAAAAATAAAAAGATTCTGTTGCATGTACTGTGACTATGCAACAACTTACAAACAATCGTTGCAAAAGCATATTTGTCGCAGGCACAAACAAGAATATGAGTTGGAAAATAAAATAGCAATAAATTTAAAAACGTACTCTTGTGTGTACTGTGACTTTACAACAGGACAAAACCTAAGGCTTCAAAGACACGTTTATAAAAAACATAAAAAACAAAATGATTTAGAAAAGAAAGTAGCAATAAACATAAAAACATTTGATTGTGTATACTGTGAATTTAAAACAGTAGAAAACCAGAGGCTTCAAAGCCACATTTATAACAAACATAAGGAACAAAATGAGCTGGAAAATAAAGTGAAATTAAGCATAAAAACGTACTCCTGTGTATACTGTGACTTCACAGCAGTGGACAATCAAAAGCTGCAAAAACACATCTATATGAAACATAGAGAACAAAATGAATTGGAAAATAAAGTAGAAATAACCATAAAAACTTACTCTTGTCTATACTGTGACTTTACAGCAGTAGAAAATCACAAGCTGCTAAAGCACATCCATAACATACATAAGGAACAACTTGAGTTTGACGATGAAGTAGCGATAAATTTAAAAAAGTTCTCTTGTTTGTACTGTGACTTTGTTACAGTACAAAACCAAAATCTGCAAATACACATCCATAGCAAACATAAGGAACAACATGAGTTAGAAAATAAAGAAGCAATTAATTTAAAAACTTACTTTTGCATGTACTGTGACCATAAAACAACTTACAAACAAGCGTTGCTAAAGCACATTTCTTACAAGCACAAAGAACAAAACGAGTCAGAAAATAAGGTGGCATTAAATTTTAAAACGTACTCTTGTGTGTACTGTGACTTTACTACAGGACAACACCAAAGGCTTCAAATACACATTAATGGAAAGCATAAAGAACAAAACGAGTTGGAAAATAAAGTAGCTCTAACCATACAAACTTACTCCTGTGTTTACTGTGACTTTACAACAGTGAAAGACCAAAGGCTTCAAGGACACGTTATTAGAAAACATAAAGAACAAAATGATTTGGAAAATAAGGTAGAATTAAACATAAAAATGTACTCCTGTGTATACTGTAACTTTACAGCAGTGGAAAATCAAAAGCTGCAAAAACACATCTATATTAAACATAGAGAACAAAATGAAGCAGAAAATAAAGTAGAAATTAATATAAAAACTCACCCTTGTGTATACTGTGACTTTTCAACCGTAGAAAATAACAAGCTGCAAAGTCACATCTTTACGAAACACAGGGAACAACACAAGTTGGAAAATAAAGTGGAACTAAACATAAAAACTTACTCTTGTGTTTACTGTGACTTTACAGCAGTAGAAAATAGGAAGCTGCAAAGACACATCTATATCAAACATAAGGAACATTATGAGTTTCAAAAGTAGCGATAACTTTAGAACTTTCTCGTGTGTTACTGTGACTTTAAAACAGTATTAAACAATGGCTTTAAAAATATATTTACAGCAAACATAAAGTACCGTTGAAAATAACAGAAGAGTTGAGGGAAGTTCACCAACAAATTTAGGAGTTCTACTATAGTATAGTATAGTATATAGTATACAGGAACACCATTTTAAAGTTGCTTTAGTTTACGGACACTTTTTATACACAGAGGACTCTCTCTGTATAAAAATGAGTACTTCCCTCTATTCTCCTAATAAAATATATATGTTAAAGAACTGTATTATTTAAATAATTTTTAAGGTGTTTATAATTTATAAATATTGGATCGTTCGTGAATGAATAAAAAAGTTATATTATCTTATTAATAGAACCTGTATGTTCCTACAGAATTCCCAAACGGTCTAACCCCTGCCCAAAGTCCTATTGGGCACGCGCCTGTCTATTTTAGTCAGTTTGGGACTCTTGTAAAATTATATTATATTATGCTTTTAATAGTGACATAGATTTAGTTCAAACTTTTCTGTTGTTTAAGCATTAATAAAAATATTAAGAAATGGCGTACTCTTTTATTTTTACAGTCTCGGTATACCGTACTTTTATTTTTGGTGTAAACAGCTGTGGCTGTCATTTTCCTTAAATAAATAAATAATAATGTAACATTAATAGCACCAAAATTATAATAACTTACAAAGATGCCTGAGTCCCAACCAGACCCAGCTGGGTTAGTGGGCCAAATATCAAGTGTTCTAACCAGAGCTAGTGCTAGTTTATTTGGATTTTACCTTATTAAATCAGCATGTATAAAATAATATATAATTTTAATGCTCCATTTTTAAAAAGCTTTATTTGTTTAAATTAGTTATGTGTAAGCTTGTTTAAAAGGTTTACCATTGCGAATCAGTGTTTTTAAATACTTTTGCATTTTTAATGCTAATTAAACGCAATTTTATTACATGGTTGCATTTAAATAAACTTGTAGTGAAGTATCATTTTAAGACTCGTCATTCCTAACAAGTTTAGGTTCATTTTAACCTATAAATATAAATAAATTTCACGCCATTTTCGATGGATTTTGTATTTCCAACAATTTTTTTAAATAAATAGTGCAATTGCTAATTTATACGGTGTTACCATTGTGAATCAGCTTTAAAATGGCTTAATTTATTTATAATCACTGTTTAAATTAGTTTGAGTGCAAGTTCCTTTAGGGGGTCTATCATTGTGAAGTGCTATAAATCAGCATTTTTATCATTTATAGGTAAATTTACCATTTAAAAATTGTTTTTTTTTAAGTGCTAGTTTATGTTACCAGTGCAAATCAGCATTCTTAAATGCCAAAAAATTGTGGACTTTTTTTTGTAATCCCTTGTGATGTTTTTATTTATTTTTGCGTCATAAAAGGGTTTATATAATATACATAAAGTTATAATAGTTCAAATGTATTTTATTTATTTACATCCCATTTTGAACTAAAACTTTTTATTTAGAAATCACACGAATTTTAGTATTTTTTAAATGATTTTTTTACTGTAAATTGTTCGAAATTACTAAAATGTATTATACCCCAATTAATTTTTGACTAAATGCAAAAACACAATTTGAGTATCGTGGAACAAACCAAAAATTATGTGCTTACTTTAAGTTTGTCACTTCGGGTTGGCAGCACTGATTATCTAAACATGACTGCAACCACAATCCACACATTGTGACTGCAACGTTGCCTGGTTCCTTTTTAATTCAAAGGCATTTCGACATTTTTTTAGCAAAATATTTACATATAAAATAAAGTATATATAATATAACATATTTTACCTATAATTTAGTTTTATTTAACTATTAAACAAATTTAAAAGTGCAATTAGAAATATTTTTATAATGTTGGTACCTACCATGCTTGACATTTCTAGGTTATGTCATTAAAAATGTAAAATAAATAATAACAACGTGTTTCTGTAGTGTATATATTTGTTATATGAGTGTATTATAATAACGACCATAGAAATAACACACATGTGTTATTTCTAAGATAACGACCAATTCACGCAAAGGAGAGAATCAAATTTTTAGAAGAAGAATATCAAACAATAATGAATTGAAACAAATAATTGAATTATTGTAAAAGAAGTGATATGCAATAATTTTATAAATGAAAAAGGCAATATAAGCTAAAGATTGGTAAAATTTTAAATGTGGGAAGAAATTATTAAAAACAAGGTTATGATTGATAAAAATTTAAATGTTTGTGTACATGTTTAGAAATGATTTGAAGATTGGATTTTGGAAGAAAAACTTTTACAAAATTGTTGAGAAGCTAAAAGTAATTATATGTTTAATGTATAAAAAATAATTTGATATAAGCCATGATTGGATTCCGGAAATACCTTTCTCGACAATATTCTTCGATTTGTACTAGGTAAGGGAGTACAGGAATTTATATAAATTATATTAGGAGATGTCCAATGATGTTTAAACTTGTATCTGTTTCAGTCAGAGTCAAACCAACTCGAGAGAGAATAAAAAATTAAAGATAATAAATGAAATGGATTTAAACAATTGGAAAATAATATTGGAAGATACAAATAGGAAAATAACAAAACATGAATAAATGACCATTAACCTGATTTGATGAAACCTGGCAGCAGGATAAGTTTTTACAATTTTTTTATCTTTTTAATTGAATGTACCAAATGGGTAAATATATTTACCCATTTTGTGATGTATCAGTATAAAGCAGTGGCGGCTGGTGGATTTTAAGTATACCAATATCTCAGTTATTAGACATGGGACCCACACCAAATTTATAATAGTTTATATTGACATTAAATAAACAAGTTCGGCGCAAACAGAATTTAAATTGAAGTTTGCGAAAAAAAGTTAGTTTTTCCTGTCGCCTACCCTGCCTCCAGGCCCCCCTATTTGAGATAATTCAAATTAAAGTGGTGCAATTTATTATCTACTATAATTTATCGACAAATTTAAAATTTTATTCAAAAAATCCAAATATTACAGATTTTATTCGATTTTAAATTTTTATTATTTATTTTATTAAAATAAAAAAATATTTAAAATGGTATAAAAACTGTAATATTTGGATTTTTTAAATAAAATTTTAAATTTGTCGATAAATTATAGTAGATAATAAATTGCACCACTTTAATTTGAATTATCTCAAATAGGGGGGCCTGGAGGCAGGGTAGGCGACAGGAAAAACTAACTTTTTTTCGCAAACTTCAATTTAAATTCTGTTTGCGCCGAACTTGTTTATTTAATGTCAATATAAACTATTATAAATTTGGTGTGGGTCCCATGTCTAATAACTGAGATATTGGTATACTTAAAATCCACCAGCCACCACTGGTATAAAGTTATACTTTTCCTGAATACAATTAGGATTATTTTTCTACCAAAGGAAGCTTAAAGCTTTAAGGTTATCTAATATTATTATAATATAATATATTATATTTCTTCTCCCCATAGTATAACTAACAAAAAGGGTGTAAACCCTTAATTTATTTCTGTTTTAAGGACCTCTTGGCAGCAGTAACTTTTAAGATACCATGTCCCTGGGGTATTAAAACTAAAACCTTTATATTTTTTTACATTTTACTAGACCGGCATATTTTTATCGATTTATATACCATATAATACCAAGTTCAATATCCTATGAATTTATTTTTTAATTTTGGTTTTAAAACTCCTTTTCTAAAAATTTAATTCAACTTTTAAGTAGCCAAAGAAAATAATATGATTTCGTATTTTTTTATTAACATGACCGTCTATAGTGATAAAATAGCAACATAAATAGTTATAAATTGGTCGCCATGTTTTTTTTTGTTGTTGGTTGTTTGCCGGTGGAAACTCTAACTTAAAAATCACAACATGGGGATTCTTAAAAAAAATGTGTGAAATCACATGAAAAAAAAGTACGCGACGGTCATGTTGAAAATTTGTTTATTTTTTATTTTAATTTATTAAGTTTTATGCACCTAAAGGCATATTTGGCCAAGTTACCTAAAAAAAGTCAGTTTAACTAAATACAAACAATTTTTTTTCAAAATTAAATCAGAATCTTAAAAGATACCACCCATAAGCGCGTTCTTTTGAAGGTTACTAGTATTTTAAAATTATAAAAAAATAACTCTTAATTGTTTTATTTTTTTATTAATTGCAATATTATTGAGTTTTTTCCATAGTGATCAGCATTTGTACATGCTGTATTTTTTCTAATAAGTGGTGTTTTTAAAAGTGAAAGTGCAGGTTGATTTGGAAGTTATCAACGTTTTTTAATGCGTTTCTAAAATATAAATGCTTATAAGCATTTATTTTTTCACTCTATTAAAAAACAATGTGTAAGATTATTGCGGTCTTATCTACCCTACTAAATCAGCATTTTAAATGCTTTTCGTGAGCAATTTTATTGTTTAATTTTACGTCCTTTTAATTGGTTGTTTTAGAAAAAGTCCGACTAGTGAGTGAAAAGTTCATTAAGGCAAATAAAACTAAATTTTCCTTTTTTTTTTAATGAACCAGCGTTGCTTAATTTTAGGGCTTTTTTCAAGTATGTATTGCTAATTACCATTGAAAATCAGCATTTTTAGGTATGCTTAATTTTACACTAATGGTAGTCCTAGTTAAGAGCAAATCAGCATTCTTAAATGCTTCAAAATAGCATTTTAATACTTTATTTCCCGCAATTTTTAATTGTTTTACCATTGTAAATCAGCATTTGTAAGTGCTTCTGTCATTTTTAAACGAATTTATTGGTAACGGATAAACTAGTTTAGGTTTTCTATTGTGAATCATTGTTTTACTGCCTTATTTGACTTTTGACTTTATTAATACTGCAAGTGCTATTTAATTTCGGTTTTACCATATTGATTTATTAGAGTCAAAGCAATTGGTAATTGATTTTTTCCAATAAATGTTTTTATTTATAGTGTTAGTAAAGTGGCATTTTAATGCAAAAGCACGTCATTCTTGGCAAGTTAAGTTCATTTGGACCTAGTGAATTAGAATTTATAAAGGATTTTGTAACATTTTAATGCCTGATTGATTTGATTGATATCAAAGGCAGCAGCATTTTATTGCTTAATTTTAAGCCATTCTTAATTTTTTTAATAGGTAGTGTTTTTAATAGTGCAAGTGCTAGTTTAATTGAGTGTTACCATTGTGTATCAGCCTTTGTTTAATTTAACTTAATTTAAAATGTTTTTTCTAAAGTGCAAGTTTATGTGAATGTTATCAGCATTTTTAAATTATTTTTCTGACAAATAAGGCTCAATTGTTTAATGCCTTTTTAAATTCAGCATTTTAAGTCAGCATTTTAAAATGCTTCTGAGTAAACTTTTAATACCTCTTATATTTGATCTATATTTATTTGTATTTATAAATAAAGGGTTTTCCATTTTGAGTGTCATAACTTTAACCCTAAAAATAAGGCTGCTCTGGAATGTAAATGTCAAATCTTTTCAACACATGTGTTCAGTACATTGTGTCAAATTAATATGGACAGATAACAATTTAACAGCGCTTAGAAATAATTCGTATTTACCATCAAAATGCTTGTTCGATTTGCCAAACATTTTGCGAGAAATATAAGGTTTATCGTTTAAGAAAAAACTGGTTTACTGGCAAATAAGTCAACTTTTGTGCATCTAAAGGATCATGTGA